AGAACTATCATGTACTTAGTCGAATGTTCAAGTTCTTACTAGAAATTGGTTACGCTGGTATATAAAAGAAGGGAGATGTAATGTGTGGATAGAGAGTGAGTAATTGATCTGCGGTCGGAGTATTATTGACGTTCGTCGCTATAGCGTTTGTTTAGCGCGATTGTTGAGTGTATCGGTTAAGTTATATTCGGAAAGAATAAACCAGTTTTATTAAGTAAAGGCTTGTGTCGCTTAAGTTTCGTCGGCACGAAGTTACGGAAAATAAATTAAAAAAAACGGAGACGTAACAGTCCTTTACGCAAAGGAAGACGCTACATATAACAAAGATTGGCTATAGAAGATACTAACAAAAACATACACTTCAGACTTCTTCGGCTGTACAGATAGACGAATAATCGGACACAACTGCACGTGAATTATAAACAATTTCACTATTCTACTGGGAAAAGACGTCCCAAGTTTGGAGAATAGTGATGAAAGCAAACTTCAAATGATGAAAGCAAACTTCAAAGTTCACAAATTATAAACATTTTTTTCAAGGGACGTCACATCTTAGTAACATGTCAAATAATTAACAAACATTATTTGTTTGTAAAAAATATGGAATAACATTTTATTGACTTGTCATATACGTATATCTTGAGCATTTTAGTATATACAGTATATCTGTAATATAACTGGTCTATAATAATGACTGTTCTGTTTAGACAAGGTTATTCCATTCATTTATTTTCTCACGAGCAGCCATGTCAGCCAGCGACTGAATGGATATAAATGTGCGATTCCATGCATTATTATTCGGATAAGGTTAGAGAACTCGTAAAGAACTAAAGAAATTGGATAACGCTAATGTTGAATTCAGAATAGGAAACTTAATTGTGCATAGCCTTCCCTAAATTTTGAAATGAGACTAGAGAGAAGACAGATAATCAACAGTACCCACAACCAACTCTTGGGATACTCTTTCCTAACCGAATAGTGGGATTTGACTGTTGGAAGACAGATATTCAACATTACCCACAACCAACTCTTGGGATACTCTTTCCTGACCGAATAGTGGGATTTGACTGTTGGAAGACAGATAATCAACATTACCCACAACCAACTCTTGTGATACTCTTTCCTGACCGAATAGTGGGATTTGACTGTTGGAAGACAGATAATCAACAGCACCCACAACCAACTCTTGTGATACTCTTTCCTGACCGAATAGTGGGATTTGACTGTTGGAAGACAGATAATCAACAGCGCCCACAACCAACTCTTGGGATACTCTTGCCTGAACGAATAGTGGGAATTGACTGTCCTTATAGCGCACCAACAATCCCAAAGTGCTTTTGCTGCAACGGAATAGAACTATGAACCCACAAATTCACAGTGCAATTACACTAACCACTAGGCATGCCTGACTTAAGAAACAATAACAAAAAATATACATTGCATTACAAAGATAAAAAATTATAAAAGAAAAAAATTATAGTAACCAAAATTTGGAAACACCAAGATTTCTTATTACTAATAATGAAAGTAGTTAAATGAACTTTAAGAACGAAAACTTCAAGAGAAGATGAACAGCTCCTCAATCAAACTAGAAACAGAACGTCTACACCTTTACTTCAGCTTAATGACAGAAAGAAAATCCATATTCACAGAGTATGTGCTGCTTTCAAGAGGTGAGGAATTAAAATGGCAAGTGCAAGGAATGGACCAAACGATGACGACTATTCATACGAGGAGGCTACTAAAGTTTGTCGTCAACAATGAGGATAATGAAAAATGGTTTTTGTTTATTTACTTCCAGATACTCTGCGTTAGCCGTCCCTAATTTTGAAGTGATAAACCAGAGGGAACATAGTTAGTTAACACCACACACCGTCAATTCTTTCAAGTTGGTTCTTGTTTGTTTGCTTTCAGATACTTGTGCAAAGCTACTCGAGGCCTATCTGCGCTAGCCGTCCCTAATTCTGAAGTGACAGACCAGAAGGAACATAGATAGCCAAAAGCACACATCGACAATTCTTGGGCTACTTCTTACCAACAGATAGCAGGATTAATCGTACCATTATAACGGATGAAAGGGGATGTTGGGCGACGAGTTTCGACCCCGTGACACACAGTTTGTGAGTCAAGAGTCCTAACCATCAGGCATTCTTTACGAAAATACAAAATTTTATTGTTTTTTTTATTATACTCGTTGGGCAAGCGCATTTTGAAATATACTCAAATATTCTCAATTGTTTTTGTAGCTGAATGCATGTTTCAAATTTTCTCCACACAAATGTTCTGTTTTTATTCATCATGTATTAGCTTATGAAGAGATTCTCAAAACTTAATATTTGTTCAACACTCTTAATGGAAGAAGTCTTGCTTGATATTAGAGAAAACGTTCCTAAACATTTCTATGCACTTTGTAAAGTCAAAATTTTTATTTTTTCCCTGTGAGGCTGTTTCTGAGTACCGTATACTGCCAGTCAACATATGCAGACGCGAAACCTGAATAACAACCAGTTTGTCTATTAACCATAAAATCGCAACTACACATTTTAGAGATTGAAAAATTTCAGCAATAAAATTTTCATTAGTATTTTTCGTACCACTATCAAAGCTTCATCTTAACCTTAACGATACAATATTTAAACGTACTTTATAAGACATCTTTAGTTACTCTGTAAGACAGGTCTAAGACTAATTCGCAGTTTTCTAGAATTACAAATAGTTGTTTGTGTGTGTGTGTGTGAAAAGCTACCGAATAGACTGCCTACACATTGTCCACCGCGAAGAATTGACCAGAGGATTTTAGCTTAAACTTGCCGCTGATCTACCATAAGAACAACTAAATAGCTCACCCACATTTTTTCGTTGCTTAGAATAAGAAATGATTTAACGAGCGCTGTCATTATTAATTGAATTGTCATATTTTTCCCATTCAATAGTAGACCACGGCTGAATAACCAATAGTGTAAAGGATACCCGCCCACCGGTTTTGACTGGCAGAGACGTCTCTGGAAGATCGAAATGCAAAAAGTAAACAAGAAACGTTAGAAATAAATAAACAATTTAATGTAGGAAACGGTAAATAAATGTCGAATAAATGTATGAATATATGTAGCGATACATCCATATTATATTTTCGTTATTTCTGTCAATATTTATTGAGTTATTCATTTATTTACTACTGCAATATCCATAATATGTTTTCAAGTGTTGTGAAGCCTCCATTAATAGGACACACTGGTGACGTGAATAGAGAAACTAAATTACAACAGATACATTTGTTTTTCTGAAGTTTGGGTAAGTTTTTAATTCAATTTTTGAAAATTTACACAAATAAAGCAATCTAAAAAAAGAATGGACTATAGACTCTTATGAAGTCTAATGTGGTACAAGCTGACAGAGGAATACACGTATAGTATACATATTGCATAATAAACAATTAACAACAAAGACCAGAAACGAAACTTAATAACTGACAATAACTAAAGAAAATGGATAAGGCTCACAAAACGTCGAAAATATTGTATAAAAAATAGTATTCTCTCGAAAAATAACAGACACGGTAAATAAAATTCACTTTAAAACCAATCTAATTCTCCACCCCCTACCCCCCCCCCCCCCCAACCGTTTAGGGACCAAGGGATCTAATTCCGAAACGCCGTGGAAATTAAATTAGCTTTTAAGTGAATTTTATATACCGTGTCTCGAATATTTTTCTTGAGAAGACTATTCGTGTATGGAAATAACGCGATTATAAAATAATGTACATTCACAACAGAGATTTCGTTTTACCTAAAATGTAGCTATTTTATAGACAGGATACGAGTAACAATGCTGTCCATCACACGCGTAAGGGTTATTCTCGTGATAAAAATATGAACACACAAAATAATTATGTACAAATAACAGTTTTACAGCACCATCATATGTTAACATCTTGCTTGAGTTACCATGGTAACTGTATCATTTGATAGACGAGTTGGATACTGTTAAGTGAAAATATAATATCAAGAATGTTTCTACTGAATATAGATACTGTTTTCAGCGTGTTTGCTTCTAACACGAGGTGTAAAATGACATGTTTAATACGTAGCGATAGTTTAAGTATCTATACTGTTCGTTTGCAGACCCTGGACGAAATTGGCGACATTCGTCCTCTCATTGTAAACCGCCACTCCTAAAAAATAGTCCCCTGAAAATGTTTAAATACTGAAAGATAAGTTACGGGCTATAAACGACAGTAAGTGTTACGTTAAGTACATGTTGTGGGAGCATAACATTAACCCTAAAACAAGCGATCGATAAGCATTTATATTTAAATTACAAACAAAGAAATACAATGGATTACACAAGTTCTGATTTTGAAACATTCACGCGAAAAATGTTTGCTTTTATGTCAAAGAAACTGTAAAGAGAAAACTGGAAATATTCTGAGGATTCTGGGAATGAACATTGAAAGGTTTTCTTGTTGTCATGTCAATAACTGCTACGGACCAATCATGTGTTATCTATCGATCGTTTTGTGTTATTATTCTGTAGTGTCAGTATTATCACAGGGGAAAAAATCTGAGCTAGATTATAGAGTAGAAAGGACTGAAATTGAATTTCTAAAAAACATCCCAGTTTTCGTTTTTCATAATTTTTGCTTCGTAGAAGTTAATAGTGAACATATTTTGATAACAAAAAGTGACTGAACCAAGCTATTGCTTTTACTGAGTTTTGATGTTGAAAACTTTCGCTAAGCTTCTAAGTTATAAAACCATGACTCATGTCATCGCTGATAATGAAACAGATCAATACTGTATAATAACCAAGTAGTAATAGCGCTTTGTTCTTTCCACTACAATAAATAAAGTTACTGGGAGATGTAAAGTTTAAAACTTCATAGTTATAAGATATAAAATACCTATATGAATTTTTGAAAATAATATTAATTACATTGGCCTTTTACTGAAAGCTGCAGTGTGCTGCCTCTATTTGAAAGAAACAAATATACAGAATTAAACACCTACTGCACTTGATAAATATTACATACAAAATATTAAAAAATGTCTAAATGAATATCATGAAAACCTTGAGAAAATTAAATATCAATTTCCAAAAAAGAATCATAATTCACATTTTGCGTATCTCTACTAAACAATAAATAGTAAACTAAAGTAAAATTATTCTTTCAATTATTTTCTTTGATAATAAAATCTTTCGTAATTGACAAGTCGAACCCTTTAAGATCTTTATGTAAAATAGAGCATGATAACAACAACTGTTACTCATTCGCATTTATAGTTTACAGAAAAGAAGCAATAAATAGTACCTGAAATAATTACAGGCAAATGATTTTTCAAAGTTTACAAATGTGCTACAATATCAATACTACGTCTACAACACAGAAAACGTGATAGAAAGGAAGAGTGTTTTGATGTTACATTTATCTTCCGAAAAACAGCAATAGCAGTATGATTTACTATGTCCAAAAGTCACTTTATGTATATTCTTTTTACGATATCGAAGTTAAAAAATATATAAAGTATAAGAAGTAATAAGTTATAAGTATCGTAGAGGTCAGGAGCCTGTCTGTTAAGCTATACTCTATAGATTTTACATAATCAAACAACCACCTATCATGCTTATAAAATGGGTACTGTAACATCTTGCGTGATTTTCAGGTTTTATCATTTCCTGAAAAAATCATCTTGGCCCATAAGCAACTACAGATATCAGTATACGTCACTACATCATTGGCCCATAAGCAACTACAGATATCAGTATACGTCACTACATCATTGGCCCATAAGCAACTACAGATATCAGTATACGTCACTACATCAGGCAACCGTAAGGCTTAATTAAGAACGGCTGCAATATTGAAATACACACACACAGCAACACCCAAAATAGACAAAAGAAAGGATGGCCCATATGAACGCCTCTCATTATTCAGTAATGAAATGAGACTAAAAGATTGGCCCTCAAGAAATGCATTATTACGACCACAGCAATGAGCAACTTTAAAGTGACACCGTCCTGTGAAGTCTACACGGAGAATGACGTCATCTTTTCATAACTTTCAGGAATTAATATATCAAAGCATATACACCAAGTCCTCTCATAGCGATACACAGTTTTGCTGGATGGAATCCTCTCTTTACCTGTAATGTGTGGGTGTCTGTGTTTATCCAAATAAACGGACTAACTGGGAGACAGATAATATATTTTCTAGAAAAACTTCCGCCACTCAAGCTAGGGAGAGGGAGGTGGGAGTCCGATTACCTTGCAGAAATGTGTTTCCCTATCACCTCTACTTAAGTAATTTTTCTGTGATTTTTCAAGTATCCCCACGAATACTAGGCATGATATTGTGACGCTGTTGTATTGCATCAAATATTTAAAACATCAACTTTATATTGCGTGTAGAAGTGGCTGGGGCGAAAATATGTATAGATGGGGTTGATCATATAAAGAGTACTAAACAAATATGATCGGATCAAAATCACTACTGGTTGTTGGATTACATATGTATGGCATTTGAGATTCATATTGTATTAATAGTAAAACTAAGAGCCATTGTTTTTTTTTGCTACTAAAATCCCATTTCGCCACATCCTACAAGTTACCTTCTGCTGTTCAATCACTATTTGCTTTTCTTCTTACTGTTTGTTGACCGGAGATGACGTCATCATTCGAGTTAACAAAACAAATACGGCGTTGGTACGGCAATTCCGTCACTCGAGAAAATACAAAATTTCTAGTGATGAGTATAATAGGCATGTTACTGGTCGTCATGGTAACCCATAACACTCAATCGAACACACCCACATCGAGAAAGAAGATAAACAAGCAACAAAACTTCACAACATCTAGGGCCGTGATACGTTAGTGAGAACTCACGTGATTTTTAAAACCTATCTCACGCTGCTTCGTCGTAGTGGTGCACTTCCGCTCGTTCTTGGATCATGTTTCCACCCCCTTGCCGTCGGCTGTCAATTGAACCCTAAAAGACAGATTATTATTAATTATCTGCGGTAAAAACGTGGTATTCTCATTTCATAGTATAACACTTTTCTTACAAAATTAAACAGAAAATAACAATATTTGCTTAACAAGTTCATTACATCCCGGATATACATGGTTTATAAAATGTTTTCACTAACAACATTCAGTAGATCTTTTCTTCCTTAACGTAACCATTCTAGTATTACAGTGGCGGGGGAAGAGGTGGACTTTTCAATCTGTCCCAGTATCAAAATTAGACAAATTACCCTCGGGAAAAGCTGGAGAATGCATAATATTTAATCCAGAATCCAAGAGCTTCCAAGACCCCGGCCGTAATGTTTTGATTGTTTTATATATATATATACATACATATATATGTGTGTGTGTATGTGTGCGTGCGTGTGTGACGTGTAGAATAATAATTCTGTCGATCAACTTTCAAATTATAATACTGTTACGTCTCCGATCGTTAGTTAATTTTCCGTAAAAACTTTACCGATACAAGTCCTTTCTTAAATAAAACTGGTTTATTCTTTCTGAATACAACTTTGCGATACACTTAAATTCAACAGTCGCTCTATAACAAACTCTATAATTCACAACGAACTTCTTGGCCGGTCTTTTATATACAAGACTACCCCAATCTAGTTTCCCGACATTTCATGAAGGTTCGAGAAGGAAATGGCGTGATACGAGCGTCACGTGACCTGCGTTGTCGTAACAATACTAAGAACCCGAGAGTGAAAGCAGATTAAAATATATTATAATACATGAGGCTGTGGTCAAAATGTACTTATGTTAGTAAAATATGTGACCTAGTGCACAATCTGTGGGAAAATATATTACCCATGTTGGGATCAATAGATAAGAAAAAAATGTGCAATGTTTTTCCAATACTGGTGGTGTTTTAGAAATATAATTTAAAACGTATATAAAGACAGAAAGTGAAGAAATCAAACTATATGAAAAAAATATGTGGGTTTAATACGATTCTCGAAAGTCCCTTGTTTTGTTTTTCTCTTAGTTCGAAAGTGAGTAACTAACACTTGAACTGGAAACTATAAATAACACGTACACACAAAATGTTCATGGAAGGGGGGGGGGGGTTAAATGGTCGATCCGTACATAATCTGGCTGCACAAAAGCCTAGTGGGAGAAATACATTTCGTCTCTTCAAACGGGTATTGAAGTTACCTACGGCTTTCAGACAAAAGGCGAAACGCCGTAGACATCGTTTACGGACTTCGCCGACAGTTTACTTGGAAAGGAAGCATGAGGAATGAATACAAGGTATATATTTCACTGTTTTAGAAGTCGAAGGGCACGATGTTAACTTGACCAATGTTGCCTGTGCTTAAGCATTTTCGTTTTAAATAATTATCTGTATTAATTATTTTTGCGTCAAAATATGTAGTGTGATATATGCGTTTGAACACTCGTATGTCCGACTGTGGGCGAAATGGGCATCTGCTGTTGAAATGTTTAGAAATGATGATTGGCAGAGATCAGTCGCCCCTGGGTGCAGGTGTGAAGGGGCGCAAAATTTCCTCTGGCATATAATGCCTATTAATTAATAATTATGCTCTCCCTTTGGATATAGCGCAACTGCCCTACGTTAATTAAATACGACACAGTGTTACGTTATTTGTGTGTATTACGCTTGCAGTTTTAACTTTTAAAAGCCACCCACTGAAATACAGTGAGACCGAATTGATGTACAGAAGTAAATTACACTATTCCATCATTCACC